TATAGTTTAGTATGATTTGCTAATCTCTCATCGAACGTATCCTACGCATATTAAATATACCTAAAAAAAAAAAAATAAATAAATAAATAAATAAATAAATAAATACTTGCAAACATAAGACAATTATTTATCTGTTTCTCGTATTCATCGTAGCTCAAATGGTGGGGGTGGCATATTAAACGTAAAACTTGGAAAGAAGCTTTAAACCGTAGGATTAGCGTTCTTTTTAGCGCATACTGGCACGAGAGAAGGGGTGGAAAAAGAAGAGAGGCTTGAGGAGGGTACAAGGGTGCGGTACCAAAGGCAGATTCGAAGTTAGTTTACATTTTAAGTGGAATCAGTGTGAGAAGAACCAGGCATTAAGGTGGGAGACGTTTTTTAAACGACACGCGAACAAATATCTTCGCGTTTCTTTTTTTATTTTCTTTTTTTTTCTTTCTTTCTCTCTCTCTCTCTCTCTCTCACACACACACACTCTCTCTACTTCGCATTTTCTCATTTTCTCATTCCAAGTAAAGAGATAACGAATCACCACGTTTCCTCTACTCTGCGAAGTCTTCTCAGAGGTGTAACTCGACTCTACGGATTATCCACTTGTTTTTTTTTTTACCCTCATCCCTTTATTTTCTTTCCTCTTCTCTCTCTCTCTCTCTCTCTCTCTCTTTTTCTCTTCAACGTTGGTTTCTTTTAAAACCTTACGGTAATCACGGAAATCTCACTTAGCGAATCACGAATTTATCCTAAAACTAAATTCGATATTTACCGAACTCTTTAACTGATTTTTCTTTTTCTTTTTCTTTTTCTTTTCTCTACCAATCTCGTCATATTTTTTATTTTTTCATTCATTATTTTTCTCGTAACTATTTTGAATGCGTGGATGTTTTTAATATTTATTTATTTGTTTTCATCATTCGTGTAATCACGTCGGTCGTTTGATCATTCGCTTACTTCAATTTTTTATATAAAATTGGATTTAAAATAAAATGATGGAATATTACAAGTAAAGAAAAGTCGATTAGGAAGAAGATCGAGAAAAAAAAAAAGAACAAAATTGACAAAGTTACCTTTACTTCTATCTTTTACCAACCCAATCGGAATATTTTCTCTCAATCGGTTTTTCACATAACTTTTATATCTATCCTACACCCTGTAAAGACACAGCATCTATATATATACACACACAAATATACATGTATACATATATACACGTAGTTACAAAAGTATATGTGTTGCTAAACTCGAAGAAAGAATGTCTTACGAGAAGGGTTGTACCCATAGTATTCTCCTAGGCTTTGCTATGCGAACGATTTTCTTTAGCCACGGTAAAGTGAGCCGGAAACTTCCTCAACCGATACATACCTAAACCCCTTTTTCTATCTTTTTCTATATATATATTTTTCATACATGTACACGTACACACGGTACATGTATGTACATATATGTAACAATTGAAACCGTTCGGAAAAATACATTTTCTTCCATCTTCCATATTGCCACTGCCACCACCATCCTGACCCCCTCATCCCCAACCCCAACCCCCCAGCCCTTCTACCGCACTCGCGATACTTTTGTACCAATAGAGGAAATGTATCATTGGAAATGGAATATCGACTAACTCTTGAAACACGTTGCCGAGTTCCGAGAGCATAGGATAACAGCATCCTTTTTCGAGTTATCCACCCACCCCCCCTTTTACTCCCCCTTATCTTTCGATATCTTTGGATCGGTGTTACGATTAATCTCTCTCTCTCTCTCTCTCTCTCTCTCTCTCTCTCTCGTATCGAAACAAATCCAGTCAATTTCTTTCTTAATTTTTGTCTTTTTCTTGATATAACATTTGGACAAATATTTGTTCATTGATTGTTCGTTCAACCATTTCGTTGTTATTTTTTATTCTTTCAAACGATTCTTTTTTTTTTTTTTCATTAACGTCACATATTTTGCGTGGGCTTTTAAATTCAGTTTTATATTTAAACAAAACAAAAAAATAGGATCATAGATTCCTTTTTGAACGTTTTAATAGTTCTTTTCTTTTTTAATCGATTTTTTTTCGCTTCACACTCTCGTACGCAATTTGGTAGAAAGAGAAGGGAAAGTTTTGTTTTCTTTTTTTGACTATATTATTTTTCATCAGTTTTTATACGTGTTCATTTATTTTTGTTATGGAATTTTCGTCTAAAAGTAAAGGAGAGATTCCGAATATAAAAAAAAAAAGTAGTAAAAGGTAAGAAAAAAGGGATAGAAGAAAGTTTGTCATAAAGTTGCTACCAACGTAAACAACGTTATCTTTCTTTTTCGACAATGATCAACGATTGTCAAAGAAAGTTTCTTTTAACGAGAACATGATGCTTCGTGTTCGCAATAAAGTAGAAATAACGACGTTAGTTTGTCGAATAGGCTTGGGCCCAGTATTACACGACGACCGATTCTCGACGAACTCAATTTCCAATAATTGCTTTCTCCTGCTCGTCTAAAATGATAATTAAATTCCTGTTTGCTGCTATTAACCGCTTTGCAAACCATCTCGTTCCCTTACTACTACTACTACTACTACTACTACTACTAATGGCTTCTACTCGCGAGTCACGATTTACTAAAAGGAATGAGAAAGATCTATCCTTTTGTTGTTTAGTCGTTTAACTTACGTGTTTATTTGAAAGTTAAAAAGATAAGAGATCAAATAAATAAAGCAATTTGTAAGATGATATTTTTATTCTAAGAGAATATAAAACAAAAATTCGCGTAAGTAAATTTAAAATATTTTAATACAATTCAATATAAAAACAGGAATACCTATAAATGATATTAATCATAGTTGAATCGTTTACAATTGTAAGAAAAGAAAATAATCAACGGAGATGATAAAACAAAGCAATTTACGATAATGAAGTTGAAATTGTTACAACAAATAAAAGAAGATAGTAGTAAGGGAAAGGTACCAATTAGGAAGATAAAGTAAAGTTTACAAAAGAGAGAAACTGAGTAATTAATAGATACTAATTAAATGAAAGATATTTATTATATTGATAGTAATTAATTAAAGAAATATAAAATAACTAATATTTCTTCTTACAGAACGATCCCAGAAAAACACACACACACACATATATATATATATATATACGTACTGTATTTATTACAAGAGTGAAATGAAAATAAGATTATTAAAACTGTAATTAGTTACTGCATAAGCTTGAAATGTTTAAAACATATATTAAAAAAAAAAAAGTAACGAAAGCGAAACTGATCGTGTGTGTTCCATCGTGTGTTGAGTGGCACGCAAAGTCCCCAACCCGTTTAACGAACCTAATACCTCGTTGTACGTATTACTTCCATGGTCGTTACTCTATTACGGATGGATTGTTCTTAGGCAAGGGACATTGTCAGATTTTGTAGGCGAGTAACTTCTGGACAGAAAGAAAGAGAAAAAGAGAGGAATGCACACAGAGTGAGTGAGAGGAAAAGGAGGAGGAAAGGGGGGTCTCTGATAAAGGGATACAGGCCAGGTGGAGAAGGAAATTTTTTTCATACGAATGACCGCGTCTTCTTGAAGGAGAAAAAGAGAGAGAGAACATGTTACGACACTACTATCGGTTATCGACTATCGGCCATCGGTTTATCGATCTCTTTCAACACTCGTTTTACCTACACGCTCACTTACGTTCTCTTTTTCTCAAAGAAAAAGAGAACAGGAGAGAGAGAGAGAGAGAGAGAGAGAGAGAGAGAAGAGAAAAGGTGTTAGGCACGCACAGTTTTGCGCTCGGCAAAAAACGAAGTGAGTAAAAAAAAAAAAAAAGAGTAGATAAAATATAAAAGAAGCGTTTTACAAAATGTGTTTATTTTAAAACTCTTTCTTTTCTCGTTTCTCTTTGGTGTTCATTCGACTATCACGATCACTATGTAATCGCAACGAATCAATCGATTATCAAATAATATTTACGTAACATAGTTTTATATATTGTTAGATAGAAAAATTCAATTTTTGAGATTAGATCGTTTTCCAACGTTCCCTTTTCTTTCAATCTTGGATTTAATTCTTCCTTCTTCCCTCCCACCCACTCACAAATATATATATGGAAGTATATATGTAACGATTTTCCGACGTTTACGTAGGAAACGGGAAAGTTTCGTTTAAAACCTTCTCTTCGTACCCCCAACGTGAACCGATCGCGTCCTTCGGAACGCCTGGTCGTAGCAAGAAAGTTGAATCGCCGCTGAGAGTTTCTGTCTGTGTTTTTGTGTGATTTGTATGTGTGTATGTGTGTGTTAGTGAGAAAGAGAAAGAGGAATGGAGAACAAGTTCGGAAACGCTCTAATCGAGTTTTCGATGAACGTCAGTTGCCCTCGACGTTTTTCGCCGCTACCGTTTGACGAACTCAGTGGAACAATTAGTCGATTGTTAGTCGGCTTACTCTTCTACCTCTTCTGCGTACGCGTTTTAAATTGTTTTTCTTTTTCTTTTCTTGATTTTATACAAAGTTACGCGCGTCTACGATTTATAAATTTAAAGAAATTTATTCCGATTAATTATCATTATTTCGATAAAATCTTATCAATTTTTAGGGACTAATATCATTTTAATTGAATTTATGAGTCACAAACACTCAGAGACACGTATATGTGTATACTTTGTATTTCATATTCATATATACTAACGAAACTTTATAAAACACTAAAGAGAAAAAGAAAATTCATTTTATAGAAAATTATACAAAGATATGAATAAATGACTTGTAAAAGAAATATCAGTGGGTATCGCGTCCGTGAAAACAATCGTACGGTTGGTATCGCGACGCTTGCAACACCAAGACTCATCTTTAATTCGAGAAAATAGTAGCGAGCGTTCGCGATCGATTCAAAGTGTGCGCCAAATTGGTGGTAGAACGTGTAACACGCATGCGCTAGAAATGAACGAATGAGAATTCTCTTTAGACTTTAGTACTTGGTGTCTGCCGATAGGACACGTGTTAGTCGACAAACGAGGGCGCAGATTCGGCGCGCGCAGCGCTGTGCATCGATAGAACGAAGCGAGGATTGGTCGAGAGCGCGTAGGAAGAGGACGAGGCAAGCAGAGCCGTTCGTGTATCGTCCAAGTGAGATGAGGTTTTCTCCAGTGTCGCGTAGAGTGTAGTGTGTCTCTCGCTTACTTCATACCCCCCTCCGTATTTCTTTGGCGCGTCGAGTGTGCACAGTGTGCGTTGATGTGAAGGTGTTCCGGGCTTCTTCTTCCCGATGACTAAGGAGTACATTTAGGTAATTAAAAAAGTCACCAATTGTAACGAACGAAGCTGCTCAGGGCGACCGCGCCCCAACGAGAAATAGAGAGAAAGGCCTCTTTCGTTTTAATACTACACGTTTAGAGGTGTGAGAGACGCCGTCGTTCTTTATCCTTACTGTTTCTATCTTTCTCTCTCTCTCTCTCTTTCTCTTTCTATCCATACGTACTCGCTTGCTTAATTTTTCTAACTTGCACCCTGTATCTTATACACTCTTATATGCGTTTTACTCTTATATCTTTTTTTTTTGTTCATTCTCTCTTTCCTTATTTCTATCTCTCTTTCTCTCACTCTCTTACTCTGTATGTAACGAAGTATATACCTCAAGCACGAGAAGGAGAAAGAGAGAAATAATCGGTGCTGCTGCTGCGCCTCCATAGCTCGCCACGCCGCGCCGGCGTTATCCTCGTCACCGTCCTCTACATCGTCGTCGTCGTCGTCGTCGTCGTCGCCGTCGTAGTCGTCATAGTCGTCGTACTGTTCATCGTCGTTTGTTGTGTGTAGTCATCGAACGACCACTACCCACACCATCACATTATTTTCAACAAAACTTACTAATATTTTTCTTTGATAACGTTCGTCATTGTTTCTCTTCGTGTTGTAATTTTGAAGATAATTTGGAAGGAAAGTACGTGGCATTGGATTACCGGCAGAATATCGTAAGTGATCACAACCGTTCGAAGATAATATCATCGTGGTCATATTTGTTCACAATGTTTATCGAAAGATAGAGAAAATGTCTTTCTCTATTTCGTGAGTGGATAGAAAAAATATTTTTCTCGTGCAATCGTCCTTTCATTCGACGATGTTAGAAGTGTGTATAGTGAATCAAAGAGAGAGACAGAGATAAAAGATTAATCTCTCTCGTGTTAAGTGAGAAATATTTTCTTTCCTTATCTTTCTCTCTCTCTCTCTCTCTCTCTTTTTGTATATCTTTATCTATTTTCACTTACTAATATATTACTAATATATATAAAAGGAAAATAACTTCTGATTTAAAGGTACAAATATCCGTCGTAACGTGGGTAATATTCGAATTTGGAGTAGAAACGTTCTTCCATATAAACGTGTCCATCTCTGTCTGTTTCGCGCGCGTCGTTCGCTTCAACAACGATTCTGATTGGCGGAAAATCGAGAATAATTAATGGGTGCTTCTCGTCGTTCGACGAACGCACACACATACGCGTATATAGATATATATATATATATATATATATATTTATATATGCTATTATAACCTCTTCGAGTGAAATTAACGACAGTGATTGCGATAACAAGTGGGATATTTTCATGACACGGAAATTATATTTCCACGAGAATTATCCTCTTCTCCTATTCGTCGTCCTCTCGTCATCATATCGTTTACAACACGCGTGAGAATCTCTGCTTAGTTTCGGTACAATCTGTTCCTTCGTTCCATCGTTCCTTCGTTCGTACGTGTACATGTGCATATGTGTTCGAATGCAACGACGAAACGAACTACGTACATAAGAGAATACATACAAACCCGCACACGTGTATGTGCGTGCATGTATCCTATTCGTTAATATGAAAGAGTATGAGAGAGAGGGGTAGAGAAAAAGAATGAAAGAAAGAGAAGGTAGAAAGAAGAAAAATAGTAAAGAAAATAGGAAGCCCGTGTGCATGGGCCGGCGACGGCGGCGAGTCGAACGATCGGTACCTTTCCACCGTTCCGGTTAATATTGGATAGAAAGAGATAGACGTATTGCATACATACACACACACATGGTGTGTGTAGTGAGAGAGAAAGAAAAAGAGTGGGGGGAAGGGAATAAAAGGACCGTACGAATGAATGTATGTGTGTGTGTACGACAAAGACGGAGATATCTCGTAGAAAGAGAGTGAGAGAGATAGAAATAGATAGGGAGAAATATACTCGAGACGAAAAGAGTCGAAGAGAGACGGAAAGTCTCGATTCGGTTTTCGAAGTAGACTGTACTACTGGTCGTCGACTTGGCACCGAGAGAGAGACGAACATGTACGAACGGCAAACGTATTTTGTACGCGCGTCGGAACGCATATAGGGGTGCACCCTCCGCGCTTATATTATCCCGTCGCGCGTATTACAGTCTTATCAAAAAGTAGTAATAAACCTTTAAATATTTTTCTTCTATTTATTTTTATTCATTTATTATCTTAATTGCTATTTTTTTAGAGTATTATTTCTATTGACTACTAATTTTTTATTATTATTTTTTATGTACGGTTGTAGGAAGAAAAAGGGAGGTTAAAGTAGAAAGCGAAAGGGCTAAACTCTATCGTTATTTTTTTTTATGAATTACGAATGTTTGATTTAATCGGAATTTAAATATGTAGATCGAGCGATAAATTGTTGTTTTTATTCAATCATTCGTTTTATTTTGTTTTGTTTTGTTTTTTTGTTTTTTAATTGAATCATAGTTTCTTTTATTTTAGTTTGGTTTATATTTTCTTGAATTAAGTTTAGTTTTTGTTTCATTATCGATAATATTATGAATGAGAGCAATTTGATTGAATGTCTTTACCAAATATGTTACAGAAATATATATATCGTAAAAACAGTTGAAGTATCTAACTTTAATGCGGTATTTTATTGAGAGTCATTTGAATGAATGATTTCATTGATTCATTATCAATGAAACTTTTTAATTAATTCATTCTTTTTTATTTTTATTTGTCAATATCAAGATCGTACACGTGTGTGTTTTATTTCTTTTCTTTTCTTTTCTTTTATTTTATTTTATTTTATTTTAATTTCTAGGTTTACTTTTTTCTTATTCCATATTTTTAAAAATATCCATAACCTGTTTTTTTTTTCTTTTTTTATTCACGTAATAAAGTAGTAACAATTTTTTTTATTTTTATTTTTGGAAACTTGACGTTAGAGCATTTTTCTATGAAGAAGATCGATGGGAGAGTTGGTTGAAAATAGAAAATGGTGAACAAAACGTGATAAAATTCAAGATATTTCTTTTTTTCTTTTCTTTTCTTTTCTTTTCTTTTCTTTTCTTTTCTTTTCTTTTCTTTTCTTTTCTTTTTTTTTTTTTTAGGTACGTGTATATATGCATTTCTTTTTCTGGCTATAGAATTTGACTTTTTCACGGTGTCCCTTTTTTTTTTTCTTTTTTTCTTTTTTTATTCCTCGAAATTGTTAACGCACATGTTTTTACAGATGTCGAGTTTTGTCTGTCGTCGTTGTTGTCTTTCTCTTCGATCGAAACTATTCACTATATCTGTCTAGTTTTTTTGTCTTTTTTTTAATTTTTTACTTCCGTCTAGCACACACACACGCACATATGCTCAACCTTGTATTTCATACACACTCACACAAATATTGTAGTTGCGCTTTCAATTTTACGGTTTTGAAATTTTGTAGAATGTTTAGAATTTTTGTTAATATTTTTCTCTCTTTTTTTTTTTCATGCATACACACACACACACATATATATATATATTTATATCGCATACATACGTTGTAAATATTGAAATTTTAGTTCGTACTTTTTATTTTTTTCATTCAAGAAAAATTTTCAAATTTTCTTTAGAATTCTGGACAATGTTGGACAAGCATTTAATTGTTTACTTTTTTATTGTTTATATCGTGAAATTCTTGTACGTTTTATTTATTTATTATTCATAATGTTGAATATTTTAATTCACGTGGCTCTCGGTGTGTTCATTTATATGTCTATATATATATACAATGTTGAGTGGGGGAAAATAACATGAATACATGCATGATCGAATGATTAAATAAACAATGAAATGCAATTATTATTTAAATTCCAGGAAAAATCTTGTATTAAAAAGAGAAAGTTATTTTTGGTATCTTTTTGAAAAAAAAAAAATTATTGCGAACAGACATGAACGTTTTATAAAAGAATATTACTGTTATCTTCATATTTAAATTTGTGTGTATATTTTATTTTATTTTATTTTTTACATGTATATATTTTTGCAATAATTTATTTAAAAATAATTTTCTGGTGTATCTTTACTTTCGTCTTTTATTATCCTTTTTTTTTCTTTTTTCTTATGTTGATAAAAAAATAAAACGCGAAGAGCAGCAACAGCAACATTGTGTTTCACGAAACACGAGTATATTACGGTGATAAAAAATATTTCATATCGAAAATTCTTATCGTACAATATTATATTGCACGCATAAAAAAAGAAAAAAAAAATGAAAATAAATAAAAAAGTAAGACACATATATAAAATATAAGAACATTGCAGAAGATTCGTTGAATTTAAATAGAATTTTTTTTTTTTCCTTTCGACAAAAATTTTATTCAACAATTTCATTTTTTTTCTTCTTTTTCATATTCATTTTGTTTAAAATGTTGTTTATTAAAAATAATAATCGGCAACGCCCGTCCAAGTGGGAATTATATATTTTCGTGATAATAATTCTTTTATCATTTTCGTATCAATGAAAAGATATTTTTTTTTTGTTTTTTTTTTTTTTAATCAAAACAGATGCACACACACCAGTTTATCATTTCAAATTTTATTATAACATTTCGAGAATAATAATTAAAATTTATTAACGTGTTTTTGTCTATCATTGATCAATTTCTTTTTATATTTTTTTTTTAATAATTATTCTCCTTTATAACTCATTTTACGAAACACACAAATTTTATTATCGACAAGAAAATGACGTTTAATTGTAATAGATAAAAATACTATTTATCTTCCCACACGTAAAATTCTAGTTCGATATTTGCTCAATGATAATTGCTAAAACTTAAATAAAAACTTGTTAGGTTGGTTTTAACGGAAAAACTAAACTCTCTAGGCAAAGGTTTCGTTATGTAAAAAAAACTCGTTTCTTTCATTTTCTTTTTTTTTTTCTTTTTTCTTCTTTTTGTTGAAGCTCAAAACTTTTCAGCCCGCCCACGTATAAATACTTTGAAAAAAAATAGAAAGCATTTCTTTAACAATTTTAAATATATTCATACTTCTCAAAGTTCA